TGATGAAGAAGGAAATGAAGAGGAAGGAGAAAGGGAATGAGGAACGTCGAGTTGGGTTTGAAGGAACCCATGGTGACGGGTTCGACGATCCCAGGCTCTGGGTTCAAGAAATGAAGAGGAAGGAGAAAGAATTTTTTAAATTTTTATTGCCATGTCACTAGCTTTTGCCATGTTGTCTTCCACGTAGATTAAAATTTTGACATGTCATCATCTTACCGTGAATTAACAATACACGTGGAGGGATTTTTAACGGAAGGACCAAATTGGGGTAAAAATGGTAAACAGTAGGGACCAAGTCAGGGATTTTTTGAGTTGAGGGACTTAATCAGGGGTCCATACAATAGTTGAGGGACCAAAAATGAGGTTTAACCTAAATTTTATTCATTTTTAACAGGATTTAGAATATGAGATTCAATTATTAGTACATTAAGAAAAAACTAATTTTAATTTTTAAGAATTATTTACGCTATCTTAGAAACTTGAAGTCATCTTTTATTGTTTTTTGTGCTTCAAGTGATGTAACTAAGAAAAATTTTCAGATTTTTTCGATTTTTACAAATGTAAAAAAGTATAAGAACTCGTTTATAATTTGTATTTTTTATTATATTTTTACTGTTTGCATGCTAATGTGTTTTATGGTTATACTTTCTATTTGATGTTAAAATATTTTTATATTATCTTATATATTTAATAATGTTAAAAACCGATAAATCTGACTAAACTATATCATCCGATTTAAGTTGGATTAATTTGGTTATTATATAATAATTGATTAAATTGATTTAAAAAATTTATTAATTGATTAAATTAAATTAATTTAAAAAATATTAAAATCTGAACAAAATCAAACCGCGAACAACCCTAATATATAATATTATAAGTTTGGACCGCGAACAACCCTAATATATAATATTATAAGTTTGGACCGCGAACAACCCTAATATATAATATTATAAGTTTGGATGCGGAGCAACTTTAGGCTGCCATAATTTTATTTTATTTTAGCCTTCGTTGTGGATGCACGAAAGCAGCAGCAACCGGGCAAGAAAAAGAAATAAGATACTCCCTCGGTTTTTTTTTTTTTTTTTTTCACTTTTTAATATTCGGTGACTATATTAAATATCAATTAATTTATAATTAAATTGTCTGTTTCTATATTCATAAAATTCAAATTTAAAATTTTATTTAAAATAAACCAAATTCTTACAATTTAAACCAATAGATCGTTAGTAAATATTCTTTTCATTTTACTACTATAATAATTAGAGCTCTCTTATGTACCAAAAAAAAAAAAAGAGCGCGCTCTCTCTCTCTCTTAGATGTTATTAACTTTTAAAAATTTAAAGATAATTTTTATTTTTATTTATTTTATTTTTTAAAAAATAAAGTAAATAAAGATTTTAATAATAAAATAAATAATTAAAATTAAAAAATAGTCATAATTTTAAATAAGAAAAAATATTAATTTTTAAAAAAATATATAAAAAATAATTATTATTTTGAGATAAATATTAAATAGAAAACTCTATTATTTAAAAATAGAAGGAATAATTGTTATTTTTTTATAATTAAAAAAAATAAATATTTTTTATTTTAATCTTATTGTTTTCTTCTTATTTTAATTAACTAGCATTTTATCAACAGTTTCTTTTATCTTCATTTCTTTTTCAAGGTAATATTATGTAAATAAAAAACATAAATTATTTTAAAATTAATTTAAAGTAAAAAAATTAGACTTTTTTTTTTTATTAAATGTGGTACTTGCGCATGGCTATGGCCATCAAAAAGAATGTTAAAGTCACCAAAACTGTAAAATATTATATTTAAAATTATTGATTTTGTTTTAATTTGATTAATAAAAATAATTGATAATTTTAATTAGTAATTAATAAAAAGTTTAAAATCAATTAATAAATTGATATTAGATATTATTTAAAAAAATTATTTAATCTGGTTAAAAATGTATCAATTATATTTTTTTATATAAATTAATTATAAAAAATTATATATTTATTATTTTTATATTAATTAATAAATTATACAATAAAAAATATTTTTCTTAAAAATTTTTTTTTATTTCACCCATTCGAAGGTTTTAAGTAGAGATTTTTAGTGAAAAAATTTATGTTTTTAACTAGATTTCAATTATTTTAAGCTTGAATAGCAATGGCAAAGTACCCATCATTAAATAAGAGTTTGATTTGTTGGCTACAGA